AAGAACTTGAAGAGACCATGCTTGAGCTAAGATATTCGAAGAGAAGAAGTTGGACATCTATTCTTGAATTTTAGGTCATTTTCATGAAGAACACTTGATCAAATCTCAAGCCATGCGGCATAAATCTTGCTTTTCAGGCTTCTAACTTAAAAATCACTCTATAATTAATTGTTTACATAACTGATTGAACCATTGTCCGAGCATTTGAGCCATTGTCCAAGTGATTAATTCATTTTTGGCACAAAGGTAACATTGCCATTTTGGAAAAGTGGCTTTAATAAAAAAAGTCCACTCTCCTTGAGCTTTGAAATTGTTCCTTATGAACACACACAATCTCAAATTCAGAAGCAACTCATCTACAACCTGTTAGCCACCCTACAAGCCCTTGTACTATGCATTGAAACCATGGTTTTCAATATTGCTTCAAAAATAAGTCACATAACCATAACACGTGATCTTTGAATTCTGATCACTAAAGCCTTCAAAACCTTTCCTCTATAAATAGAGGAGTCATTTGCAATCCAAGACACAAATTCACCAAGCCCTGAAACACTCACAAACTCCCTAAACTCAGAATTTGCAATTCAAACCTCCATTATTGCATATTCTGACCTTGAACTTCAAATTCAAAATCTACTAGTGCGTTTTCACTTCTAATCAATCACAAAGATTCCATACCTCATTTATAACTCATCCCCACCCCTACTTCATAACTTTAACTCCATTTTCCTCATCTTCCAAACTCAAAAACAATCACCTGCAACTTGACATCTCGAGGAAGATTCAGGCACTTTCAGCATAAAGTAAGAGTTGTATTAGCTTCTTAGGAGTTCAGTGAAGCTATCCAGATCAACACAACACCTCCAGGAGTGCTCAAACTCCATACACGATTTCCAGTTTTGAGGTAAGCTTTCTCAACTTTGAACTCTCTATACAAGCATCATTAATGGTTACTTTATGAATGAAAAATGCAGACATCATTTCCCTGAAGCTATCCATGCCTTTAGTTTTCATTTATGTTGCCTGAGTGATGCAAATTTTGAAGTTGAAATTTTTGAAAAAATTAGGTTTTATTTGGTACCAAATAAAATTCATGTTCATCTTTGATTCATAGCTTTAGTTATTTATATGGTTGAACTCGTGTTGAAAAATGGAACAACTTTCATGTTTACATTTTTAAAAATGGTTGAGAAATGAGCAAGATCAGAATTTCAAAAATGGTGTTGTTATAGACTGGCGCAAGGTTAGGGATGAAGTTCCATTCAGAAACAAGTTTATTTTAAGTTTATTGCAACATGTATTATGACCAGATGAAACAGCCACCCCAGTGGCAGAGGAAGCACGCTTAAGGCATTAGTGTATAGGGACTTGGGTTCGAGCCCCAGTGGTACCCTTTTATTTATTTTATATTTCTTTCTTTCAGATTCAATTCAAGCATGCCCAAGGAGTGTACTCTACGCCTCCTCATCCATACCACCCATCTGTCAGGCAATTAAATCAAACACTCATGATGGGAAGACCATGGTTCATCATCACAAGCCAGCCACACATGATCCATACAAGGCACTGGATTTTTATTCTGGGCCTGGTTTTTTTTTCTTCTTCCATACACCCCTTTTACTAAGACACCACCAAGCCCATTTTCTTTTTCTTTTATTTTCTGATTCCAACAAAAACTGATTTGGGCCCTTTTTAAACATTTAACCCCCTGATTACTTTTTAACACCCAACCCATTTTCTTTTACTTTTTATTATTATTCACGACTCAATGATTTGTAATAGATAACTAGGCTTTATTGCTTTCCTCCCCATTTCACAAACTTGTACCCCCCATTCCTAAAGTGTTGTAATAACGTAGGACATTTAAATTCTGCAATTTACCGCTTTCCTTATTACTATTAGTAATTAGGGTTTGTATGACAAGATCTAAAATCAAATATTAGAAAACCTTAATTCAAAGACAATATACAAAACACTTTTCACACATTCACCTCTAGGGTAACCCACATTTGTTGCCTCAAATAAAAACTATCATGTCCCTCGAATATGGAATGTTTTAGCAAAGACCCTCGATTAAAAGATCGTAGTCCCTCGATGACCCTTCGATGTTGCCTTCGGTAAACGATCTTAGTCCCTTACGACAAATTGCTAAAACATCTTACAAATTACCTTCTATGATCGTACGATGATCCACACCTGAATGATAAGGCTCTCTACCAACTAATGGTAGACAAGCATTATCTAAAAGAGGAGGAAAAGAACAAAGACTTTTTGAGTAGGTAGATTGCTCGTAATTGCTTTCTCACAAACTAAAGCCATTTATACCTCATACTTTCAAAACACTTTTCAAAATAAACATTTTGTATACATTCTCAATGATACGAGAATCATTACAAAATTACCTTACATTGGCATTTTTAAAACATCTTTCCAAACACTCCTTTTTCAAAAAATATTTTCAAAACCAACACTCTATATACATTCCCAATGATATGAGAATCATTACAAAGTTTTCCGAACTTAGGCGTTTTCAAAATATTTTGAAACTTACATAAACACAAAGCATTTCAAAGTGAGCTAGAAATTAAGAGCCCGTAGATAACTACAGATGAAAAGGGTGTTAATACCTTCCCTTTTCATAACCTACCGCCCGAACCAAGAAAATATCTCAAAAGGTCTTTCTTGTTCTTTTCACCCTTTCCTTTATTGGATAAAAGAAAAGTCGGTGGCGACTCTTGCTATCAACAACATTTGCGATTTAAACGTAAAACACCAAGTCAATTCTCTCACCATATCACAACTTGTCAAGTTTATACAGCAAAAAGGAATGATTTCCCAAGCACGTATGAAAAGTACATGGCCTTGGGGTGATATGAATTTGCTCGGAGTAAAAAAATTTGTGATGGTGATATGTTGGTTTGGAGTATGTTGCGTTTTTATCTATACATGTATGTAAAGGTGGAAAGGAGTTGATGGGGCCGTTTCCTTTGTTTATTTGATAATATGCTGAAATTCTGATGTGAGATTATTTTGGTCTCAATGTTTTGGTTTGGGAATGACCTTTAATATCCCTAATGGATGATATTTTGTAACCACTTTTAAAAAAATATCTATGTAGTAGTAATTTAAATTTAGAATCTTTGGAATCTATATTGTAAACTTGATACTTTTAATTTTTGAATCTTGAACTTCTGTTATTTGGTTTTATTATATATATATATATATATATATATATATATATATATATATATATATATATATATATATATATATATATATATATATATATATATATATATATATATATATATATATATATATATATATATATATATATATATATATATATATATATATATATATATATATATATATATATATATATATATATATATATATATATATATATATATATATATATATATATGTATGTATGTTGAACATGAAGCCTATTATAATATTCTACAGTGAATTACTATATAACATCAGTGTACTAATGAATGTTTTTGAGATTAATGTAGGCTTATGTTTTATTTATTGGCTCACCAAAGTGTTTTATTACCTCATTACTTGAATATTTTCTAAATCAATTGTTAACAAACGAATAAATTAAAATACAATGCATGATTTAAATTTAGATGTTGAAATGAATAATATTTTGCAAATAACTAAAAAAGAATACCTTAAAATGCAATGTTGAAAATTTTAAAATTTTTGTAAGAAAGTATTGGAAACTTTTTAGAATTATGGTTGTTGTTAAAATATCATCAAGAGATAAATGAAATTATAATTAAAAGAACATACAAATGGCCCACTGATCTGTACATTCAAATGGCCCAATTATTATCATATTCATAGGGCCTAAAGGTGTAGATGTTGATCCAAGCATATGAGACGCAAAAGCATGTATGATTTTTAAGGGTGGAAAACTTAAAGGCAACACACATAAGTTATCATCTCAATCGCCTTTACCGAGATATCTTCTGAACTTGTTCCTTCATAAACCCTAAAATGTCAAGCAACAGTCCAGTTACTCCGGTTGAAAGGTTTCATCTTATCTGATATCATCTCCTTTCCACAGTTATTGACTCTATTTAATTCAGTGCTATAATTTTTGCATATCCATTGAAAGTACCATGCAAGTGAAAGATCGTAAGGGGAAAGGGGTTGCTACAAGTGAATACCAACAGGACAGTGAAAGGTATATCATCATCTTATATATGTTGAAAGTAAGTATAGATTTAGTTGTTACAAGTATTAGTAGGTATTTTAGTGTTTATACTGTATAGATTGATGGTTGGAAAAATAAACATGTAATGCTGGTGTGGTTAATGTTGAAAGCCGTCCACGGTTCTTTGTTTAGAAGAGGAATAACAAATCCAGAAACCAGGCCTCCAGAAATGTTTATGTAACCTCAAAACTTAGAATTCAACTATGTATAATTCAATACATGATTTTAATTTATTATATATTGATATGAATTTTTGTTGATATGTAGCAAATCACACGAAAAGTTATAAGGGAGTGTTTGCAATCCAGTCTAAGGCGTATCCATGTTGTTGATTTTGATGGGGAGAGAGGTATGACTGTGAACTTCACATTGCTGAATGGATATTTTTAGTATCTATCATCTATCATTTTAAGATAAAAGTGGTACAATATCGATACTTGAATTAGATATTACTTTTTGTTAACTAATCAATTTGAAAATGACCATTGTTGGCATGTAAAATATTTATTCGATTTAGTAAATCGTTGGTCATTAGTTAGTAAGGTACAAAAACACATGATGTTTTATTTCAATTTCATTTGAGATTGTGTGGCTATTAGCTTAAACTTGGTTATGTAGTAACTTAGTATAGTTTCAGCCGGATAAAGGTTTTATTACTTCATCTATATAATCTTAATCTAAACAGTTAGTTATTTGGTAATAAATGGTAAATGACGTTTAAAGTATGATATTTGATTGAAATTATGAGGAAGAAAGTTCTGAAGACCCCTCAATGGATGAGGACCTTAAAAAACTTCCAACATATTGTGTATGGAAGAAGGAAGTAGATGTTCCAAAGGTTGTTGAGAAAAACATTCTTGTAAGTGACATAGGTGTTTCCAAACACCCGTACATTAAATTTGTCATTTGTAATGTAGGATTGTTTATAAATATAGAACCAGTAATATTTATGGAAGGTTATATTAATATGCAGTAAATTCCTCAACATGTGATCAAGACCTGCTTGTTGATTCCGATAAGTAGGATCCAGTTGGTTGATTGTGATAATGGTGATAAGTATGACTGTGAGCTTCATACTGTAAGGAGGGTCAACTGTGTTGAGAAGTATATATGGCAAGATTGGAATTACTATGCAAAGAAAATAATACTTAAATAAGGAGACATTCTTAGTTTCACCATTAGGGTTCCTCCTAAGAGACGAATTCTTGTGACCATTTTGAATCGGTGAATGTAGAAACTGATGTTGTTCGAAGTTTAAAGTTAAAAGTTTGTACTGATTTTGTTAGTTCAGAGGAGGTTGGTGGCAATTTAGGGTTTTGGGCTTAGTAGTAAAATTATGTTTTTGTGCCAACTTGTGTATTAATATAGAAGTGGAGAATGGGTAATGAACAACATTTTCTGTAAGTGTTTTGATGAAAGTTGCAAGAATGAAGGGTTGTCTAAGTATGTGAAGATTTGTATAACCATGCAGTACCCATGGGCCCTATCCATGTGGGTTGATTTTTTGAAATATGTAATAGTACAATGAACATATGTAGATTTATATTAGTACTTGACATATAATTTCTATTATTATTATTAGTGTGTGTATATATATATATATAATATTTTATTCAAATGATAAAGTTGTTATTGTTAATCTATATTATTTTTGTTTAGAAAAAAATTAATATATTAACTATAAAATAATTTTATAAATAGATAATAAAAAAATAGATATATAATGATTAGAATTTTTTAAGTTTTCTATAAGTTATCTTAAAAATTATTCAGTGATTTAAAAATTGTTGTGTTTAAAATTAATAAAACAGATTTTGAGGTTACCAAACATATTTAATGACTAACTCATTTAAACACATTTAGAAGATAAAAATCACACGTGTAAACACCCCAACTCAAATGGTATAATACCAGATATCAATATTGGAAAAGGAATAGGAAGGGACTTGACACTTGTAAGGCAGCAACTTTCCAAGGGAGCAAATAAGTCACAAGAACATTTGCAGCTTCTTCTTCCAATGAAATCACACACCCCAACATAACCTTTTTAATTTGACGGTGAAGATGACTTCAGGAGACAAACACGTCTGTGTTTCCGGGTAAGCATGCTAAATAGAGACGAAATTCATTTCGATTTCTGGTTGTGTCATCTTAACTATTGTTACAGATTGTTACTGGTTTTTGAAGAAAGCTTTACGATTTTAATTAATGGTAGAGTTAGAGAGAAGCACAACAGTTTCTACCGGCATGCGTAATGTATAAACAATGTGTGTCGTATGTTGTTATTTTTTCAGATTTAAAAACTTGAAGCAGCAACATTATGACGAACATGAACATCAACAATTGAACCTTTATCATCTGGATCATGAGGAAGAACGAATGCTACGCAAAAAAAAAATTAGAAAAACATTTTCTTATGAAGAATTTTGTCTTGAGGAGCTGGGATCGGGTGATGAAGGAAGTAAAGATGAATTTGAAGCCAAGGAAGCTTCTATGAAGGATACTCAATATGTTGTTATAGATCCGGACAAAGGGATAGTGCTGGGATCGGGTGATAAGGGAAGTAAAGATGAAGTTGTAGCCAACCAACCTGCTAAGGAGTGTACTCAATGTGTTGTTGCATATCCAGACAAAGGGAATATGGTGGGATCAGGTGATGAGGGAAGTAAACATGAAGTTGAAGCTAAGGAACCTGCTAAAGAGGATACTGAATGTGCTTCTACAGAGCCAGACAAAGGGAAAAAGACTGTAAGCCCCGTTCCTTCTCACATATCAATATCATCTTATACATCAAGGTAAACTGTTTTAGTCACTATTATTACGACGAACTGAAATGCATAGTTGAAGTAGTATTTAGTGTTTGTGTTATTCAAATATATACATTGTATTAGAGAAATACAAATATTGAAATTGATGACCTAACCAATTTTTAGTATGTTGCATCTTATGAAAATGTAGTGCTGAGGAGAGGATGGGAGTAGATTCCCAAGTCGCTAATTCCCATGCCTTAAATGAGTGGAAATGGACCCGATTGATCAAGAACGCAAGAAAAATTAGAAAAGACGTTTTTGTAAGTTTTATATTATATAATTATAATGGTATAAATGTTGTATGTGAAATGGTTTAGTAGACACTGTGTTTTTATGTCATTGTGCAGCAATTTCCAGCTTCCGTTATAAAGAAGTATTTTACGGAGCCACATAGTTCAATTATAATCTATGGCAGTGGCATGTGCGAATCATACCCTTGCAAGTTAAAGACTCATAAGGATCCATATAAGATGGAGATGTACATTTGCAAAGGTTGGTACGAATTTGCAGAAGCACGATGTTTGGGTAAAGGTGATATCTTGAAATTCACCATTGAGTACCCTCCTGCAAGTTGTTTGTCGGTGTCAGTTGATAAGAATTGATCCAGTCTGGATGGCGTTTCAAATAGTTAGGCGTAATCGTGGATCATTTTGGTTGTTTTGGATTAAACTTTGTGGATTAAACTTTGAATTAACAAATGTAATAGTTGTGTTTATGTTTTTGTAGCAATGTCCTTGTTGACATTGATAACTTGTAATTGTTAAATTATAACTAAACTACTTTTTGCATAACTTGATGTAAACAATGAAGAAATATGGTGTTGTTGCTAAAGCATTATTATGTTATGGTTGGGTGCACAAAGATTGTTATTAGAACTGCATAAAATATATGTTGCATGGTTATGTTTAATATTGTGATTGCTGCAAATTTCTGGTTTTTTTTTAAGATTCCATCAAAGTTGCATGCTTATGATGGATTAATCAGTTTGTGTAATGTAAAATAAGCAAATCGTTTAAGTAAGTCATTTTGAAGTTACTTTGGAATAAAAATATTAAAAATGAGGCATATAAGCAACAAACAAAGTGTGTATCAATAATTCTTATAATTAATTGTTCAATATGAGGCTTGAGTTATGAATAATTTGAGTTTGAAACCTCATCCCAATCACATATTAATGGGAAGATTTCTATCGTTTAATTACATCTATGTGTGTAAAAATAAAAGACTGTATTTAAGGAATATGTGTGTTTACTATAATGTATACAAATATTGATAAAGTTTTTAAAAGAGAATGAGTTAGAAAATATAAATAGATACAAATTTAATTAGAAAAGTATTTAAAAAAATATGGAGTTATGAAATAATTTAAACTATATAAGCCTTATTGAACAAATGCTAAGTGTTGTATTTTATTTATAATTTTTAACGTAGGGTATTTGTTTATTACTGCAATTATTTTGATAAATTGATATACCAAGAAATGAAATTGATGGAAAAATGGAAATTTAATTGATATCCAACTATACTGCATGACCCAACTGTTTTATAGCTGCCCTCTTTTACGTGGAAATAATGAATGGTGATGATATCATTACACGCCACCCCAACCTTTTACATTGGTCGTTGGATTCTATGCATTAAATTGACAAATAATGGTAGATATACCTTTTTTTATAATTTTTTACACATTATCATTTACAATATCGCCAACCACTACTACCTCCCTTAGTTATTGTTCTCATTTACTCAACTTCATTTACTTAAATGTGTAAGGCAGGCAACTTCATTTACTTCACCAACTAAAAACGGATAACAGAGGTATTGCCACCTGGATATTATGAAGAAAGTACATGTAGTTTTTGAAGGTCGTAAACCTGGGATATATTTTTCATGGCCTGAATGTTTTGCTCAAGTTAACATGTGGAGAAACAACGTGCATGGGAAATATGACAGCCTTGAGCAAGCTGAAAATGCATACACGACATATTACAAACAAGTTGGCCGTGTCTACGAACAACCTCACAATAACAACTCGTGCGAATTTGGTGAGTGTTCGAATGCAACAAACAATGTCCAACCTTCTGCAAGTGCGTCATGTAAGTTACTACAACTAATGTTATATAATTTACTTATACACTACGCCAAAACTGCTTTTAGGCAACACACCTTAGACATCACTTATGTACCAAAGCGATGCTATATGTCCCGATAAAGTTTCAAATTTTAAAACTATATACATTAGACAACGCTTTAGAAAAAAGTGTTTCCTAAAGTTAAGAAAAAGCGCTGCCTAAGCCACACTTTAGGCAGCGCTTTCTGAAAGCGCTGCCTAAGGTCAATTGAAATTGAAATAAATTTTTTTTCTAGAAAGCGCTGCCTAAATTCAAAGCACTGCTATAGTCCAACAATAAAAATCTTTTCCATAGGCCAAAAGTGCTGCTAAAGCCACACTTTTTAGGAAACGCTTTCTACTACAAAATTTGTTTTAGGCAGCACACTATAGACAACGTTTTTTTTTCCTAAAGCGTTGTTATAGCTTTAATTTTTTTTGTTGAGAAAAAGCGCTGCTAAAGGTTTACTTTAGAAAGTGCTTCTGAAAAGCGGTGCTTAAGGCCATACATACCCACACTTTAGAAAGTGCTTCTAGAAAGCGCTGCTAAAGGATGTGTTTAGAAAGCACTTCATATAAGCGTTGCTATAGACCATACATCAGAAAGCGCTTTTTATATGAAAAAGCGCTGCTAAAGGAAATACATCAGAAAGCGCTTCAAAAAGCACTGCTTAAGGTCATTAGTTTTTAATTCCTAAATAAAAAAAATACGAAAACCCTAAAACTCATATTTGTTCCCATATTCTCTCAAAACCTTCTCCATCTTCAAAAACTTTCTCTACAACTCTTGAATCTCTTATCGGAAACTACTATCACCTTCGCGTTACTTCATCATCTCTTCGATCAGCTTCAGACTGCACAACCTTCTCCACCTCTCCAGCTCTTCAATGATTAACACCTTCTCTTTCGGCGTGGTTCACAACATCAAGCTCTCCCCTGTTCAACAAGCTCAACCATTTTATCTTCCCTTCAACCTCTACTCAACTCAGTCGCTACCCTCACAAATTCCCTCCACAAGCAACAATCATAAGTCATTTTGAACAACTTCCTTCGTTTCAGTTCGACAATAAATTGCATCTTCAACTGTTCTGATCATTTCGAAATTTCGATAAGTTTTGATTTCTTTTGATTTGAGTTGTTGTCAAGTTTCTATGATGATTGTATATATTCCTTTGCTTTTCTTGCTTGATCCTTCATATCAGCAGTGATATGACTTTTACTCAGCTCAAAGAGAAAAAAATCATGCAAATTAGAGATACACTACTACGTGCAATGTTTTAATAAATAACGGATAAAGTTATGTTGTAACACTGGTGTAGCAGAATTTTATCAAACCTTTTTCTTTCCTGCTGCCCGCAATTGACAATACTGCTTAAAAATCACTTATGTTGTGTGACTAAAGCAATTTTGAAATGTACACTATCTAATGGGGTATCGTTTAAGGGTTTCCAGGAAAACTGTTGTCACAATTCTTTATTCTGTTATGTCAAATTTTTGGGGTAGACATTATGAGCATTTCTTTTTCAGATAATTGTTGCAATGCAGACATTATATCAAAAGTACAAATTGGTGATTGGTCACCTCAGTGAATATAATATACTTTATTATAAGGTGAATACTCCTTCGCCGGAAGATAATCAGCCTAAAGAAATTTAATATAAATAGGAAAAAATAGTAGATAATTAGAAAGAAAGCGTGCAAATTAGAGTTTTCTAGAATAATATAGATTGAAAAATTCACAAACCCGAAGCTCTCTACAACATTTACGGTAAAGTGAATCGACTGCATAGTAATATCTTTATTTTATTGTTTGATTTTAAAATATTTACTTATATTGAACCCTCATAAGGAGGCAAGGCATGAATTTGCAACAAGCGACAAAAAGCATGAATTTGTGTTATATCGTTTGGTTTCAAATGATAATTTTGGTTGTAACATTGGTTGCTTTCCCGTTTTATGTGTAGTTATTGCCTGATTTCATCACCGCTACTGCATCTCCGATTTCTCTTGTGAATAGTGAAATTTTGATCGTTCTAAGAATCTTACATTGTGTGGTTCCAGAAGTTGTTGACTTCTCTACATGTAATTAGTTGTTCTTTTGTTATAGTTGTGTGATTAATTACAGTGTTTTTGTTTAGCTTACTTAATAGTAAAACCATGGATAAAAAATGGATGTCTTACAATCGATTGTCAAAAGAGTACGAGAATGGGATATTAAAATTTGTTAAGTTTGTTGTTGAACATGCCGAAAACCCCAGTCAAATGAAATGTCCTTGATTAGGTTCTTATTATAGGGGCCAGGTTGATGCACTTGGGTTGGAATCTCATTTACTGAAGAAGGAAATTAATCTAAGTTATACATGTTGGATATTTCATGGTGAAAAAATTAATGGGAATGTTGAACCGGGAGATAGTACGACATATGCTTCAAACGACAATGGCACGGATACATACGATTTTGATCGAGTCGAAGAGATTGCAGAAGCACTTGAATAAGATCTTCAGAATTGTTCCAAAATGTTTGAGAGGTTGGTAAGCGATGCAGAGAAACTGTTGTATAAAGGTTGCACTAAATTCACAAGACTGACTGCGGTATTAAAGTTGTACAACTTAAAGGCGGGCAATGGATGGTCGGATAAAAGTTTCACAGATTTATTTGTCCTTATGAAAGATATGCTTCTGGAGGATAATGTTCTTCCTAATCAAACCTATGAGGCTAAAAAATGTTGTGCTCTATTAGAATAAGCTATGATAAGGTACATGTTTGTCCAAATGATTACATTTTATTTCAAAACAAATATGCATCATTAAATGAGTGCCCTAAATGCGGTTTATCTCGATATAAGAAAAAATTGTCTCCAACAAAAGTCTTATGGTATTTTCCTATAATTCCGAGTTTTAGACGCATGTTTCGTAGTGAAACCGATGCAAGACACTTTACTTGGCATGCATATGAAAGAATTATTGATGGAAAGTTTCGACATCCGGAGGATTCACCACAATGGTAAAAAATTAATAATGATTATCCTGATTTTGGAGGAGAAGCAAGAAACCTTTGCTTGGCATTATCTACTGTTGGAATGAACCCGCATGGTCTTCAAAGTATCTCACATACCACATGGTCTGTAATTATTATGATTTATAACCAACCTCCATGGCTATGTATGAAGCGCAAGTACATGATGTTATCTATGTTAATTTCTGGACCTAAACAACTAGGGAATGAGATAGACGTATACTTGACACCTTTAATCAAAGATTTAAAGATTTATTGAGAGAATGATGTGGAGGTTTATGATGGATATAGGAAAGAAAGTTTCAATTTGAGGGAGATGTTTTTTGGCACAATTAATGATTTTCTGGCATACGGAAATCTATCTGGATATAACATTAAAGGTCAAAAAGCGAATCCTATTTATGAAGAAAACACAAATTGGAAGCGACTGGAATTTTGTAAAAAGAATATATTTCTCGGTCATCGTAAATTCTTAA